GTTGCCTGAAAAGCCACCTGTCGGTAAGGTTCTCCAGGGCGCTGTGAGGACCAGGGCGCTGTGAGGACCAGGGCGCTCTGACCCAGGGCAGGGACTCTCCACCAGCCAGAAACACACTGCCCCTGCTCCCCAGCACTGACCCCTTCCCAGAGGTGAGTCACCTGGGGGTGAAGGGGTCAGCCCTGCTCAGGGCTCTGTTCCTTGACCTCTGGCCTGTGTGGGGAGGTGTGGCCAGAAGGAGCCCAGATTCGTCCAGACCAGGGTCCGGCCGGGCCCCAGAGGGACCACTTCTGACCCCGGCTTTCCTGGTCCCGGGCAGGGGCAGCGAGAGACACCAGATGAGAGGGCACGAAGGGGGTGAAAGGCACAAATGTGTGTCTGTCTCCGCAGAGGAGGGGGTGTGGGCCCCCTGCCCGGCCGTGCAGGGGAGGGTGGGGTGGGACTTTTCCAGAGAGGGAGCCAGGCCTGGCCCCGGCCCCGGGAGCTCACGTCACCCCCACCCCTCACTCCTCCGGGGAACTGCCAAAGCCAACCCAGCTCAGGACGGGATTATGTGTACTGGGTCGACCCGTGGAGAGAAGCAGCGAGAGATCTGGGGTGGCGGAGAGAAGCGGAGCGGGAGGGGATGCGGCATCGCAGAAGGGCCAGGCGCTGACCATCGCCCCATCTTGTCTTCCCTTCAGCCTCGAGTAGCAGGCAGGCCGAGGGCCGAAGACGTGGGTGGACCGGGGGCCTTCTCCCGGGACCCCGGCCTCCTGGCTTCCTGCCTCCCGGCAGGGCGGAACTGCTAACCTCAGTGGCCATCCCGGCCAGGGAAGTAGGGGCCATCAGCAGCCCCCTCCCCACCCAGCAGTGAGGTGACCCTGCCCATTCTGGCTCGGCCACTCTGATCCTCAAATGCCCAAGTCCTGGGGTCTCAGGGAGGGGAGCGGGGCACATTCCTCCCCTTCCCTCTGCCATCTTCCTGTCCTGGGCTGGCCCACCTCAAGACGGCTCCTGGCCTCCTTTCCCGGGTGCCTTTCGGATCCAACAGAAACAGGTTTTTTTTTTCCTGGAAAGCAGAACTAAGAGAGGGGTGAGGAACGGGGTGGGAAGGATTCAAAGTGAGCTGGAGGACGGGTAGGGGGAGTCAGGCATGAGGGGGTTTCCAAGCCCTAAGTCCCCAGTGTTCAAAGGTAGACTCTAGGATGGACTTCCCGCCTCTTCCTCACGAGAGGCCTGTGACTGGGTCCCCCGGCCATCAGAGCTGTGCAGGAAATAAGCCCAGACACTGGCCCCAGGGAGGTGATCCAGTTGCTTGCTTCTTCTCTAGAGATTAGACCAGCGGCCTCTAAGCTTACCCCTTGGCCGGCCGGGATGTGCGCGTCCTAAGGGGGAGGAAAGAGCTGGGTGGCAGGCAGGGAATGGAGATGGTTTCGGAAGATCTTGCTTCTGGAAAACCCCAAGGACTTCTTGTCAGCTCCTCAGAGGGGGTGTCTGGCACATCCTCACCTGAGCCTCCCTCCTCCACTTTCTGGGCACCTCTGGGAGGGCAGGAGTGGAGGCCATGCCAAGAGCCCCCATGTGTGCCTGAGCTAGCCTAGAAACAGACCCAAGGTGGGGCTTAGGGAGGGGCTAAGAGCCCCTGCAGGGCCGGGGCAGGGGACTGAGCCTAAGTTGGCAGGCAGAGGGCAGACCCCCACCCTCTGGCCTCTGCAGAGGGACCGGGCGGCATTCCTTCCTGCTTCCGCCCTTGGGGTCATAAAGGGGTGGGCCGGCCCTCCCTGCCTCTCAGCCTCTCCGAGCTGTCCTGAGGAGTCATCCCTCCTGCCCGGAGCCTTCTGGAGGCTGGCAGAGTCACCCGAGCTTCCGTACCTGCAGGGTGCAGCCCTCCAGCCTAGATGCCCGAGTAGAGTTTGCCACCGGTCCCCTCCTCCCTCGCCCTGGGGCAATCGAGGGAGAAGCATGGAGAAGTGGGCGGGCAGGTAAGAGGAGGGCTGCCAGGGCGGAGGGATGGCTCTGTCCCTCTGCAAGTGAGAGAAAGGGACCTCTGGGAGGTGCAGAGGAAGTGGTGAGGAGCTTCTGCTTTCTGAGGAGCCGGCAATCAGGATGTGGGAGCCTGCCGGGGTGGGGGCGGTGTTGTGACGCCCTCTGGCTCCAGCCTGATGTCCGCTCCTGCCGGTGGTTTGCAGGCCCTGGCTGTGTGTGATGCTACTCCTGTCCCTCCCTCAGCTCTGCCGGGATCAGGAGGTGAGCTCTGGACAAGGGAGCAGCTGTGCCAGCTGGGAACCTTCCCCCCCAGAACCCCCTCCAGGCCA